CTTTATTTAATAACATTATATATAAATATATGTAATTGCTACTTTTGGTTATACTTATTAGAATCAGAAGGATATCTAATAATAAATGAATTCTATTTCTGGTCACAACTGTCAATAAGATTACACAATGGCTGAAACAAAGAAATTAGGGACAATCCTTTTGTCTATAACAAACAATTGAAAAATCCTGAAATGATAGCTTCGAGAATTTATTAAAGACTAAACGTGCTAAAATCTTTGCTATATCTATACTATTAGTATATACCGGATGTTGTTCCTGAATGTTCCTGGCTGAAGCGAAATAGAAAGTTAGTTAAATTAGTGTATTTTTAATATTGGAATCAAAATTATTAGAAAGAATTCCCAAGAACGAATTAAAATTCTCATCAGTGAGATCTAAATGAGAGTACCAACACAAAAAACGAGAAAAGTACGTCAATAATTTTCTCCTTTCTCGAGTGTTGAGCAAACTGGCTTCGTTAATTTGACGGCATCTATCAATTTCCAGAAATGTATAGGTGTAAATTTTTATCTTAAGATTAGTTTAAAAAGATCTATTGTTAAAAATATATATGTGTCTGTGTGTGATATATTACATTAAAAATATTAGTTTTTCATGACGAAGTCAAGGTATCTATGATTACTTTTTATAATACTTGATTTGACTTTGCTGATATATTAAGTGAAACAGTTTGAAGGTAGATATTACTGGATGAAACTGTTTCAAGATTTCAGCTTCAATTTTGGAAATAGTCTTCAATTTATTATGGAATAATAATAAAATATATAAATGACCTATATGCATACAATACCTACATATGTTATATTGTTAAATGATAAATAATTATTAAACTAGCAACGTTCAAGCCACCTATATAAGGAGTGCCATTACTGACAATCTGACATTTTTCGTTGTCAATTATTGTCAAGAAGCTCTGCCCTAATTAGTTTTGAATATTAATAAATCAGCCATTTGCTGGCAAACGTTTGTTTAACAATCATAACGTGTTTTATTTTCTAACAATTTTTCTCAATATTGACATTGATGTGTTTGTCTCATAAAATAAAAATAGAATGTCTATTCAAAGCAATCAATTTATAAATATAATTTATTTAATTCTATATTTAGCTACAATAATTTTTTTATAAATATAAAATTATTAAATTTCAAAACTTAAGAAACTGCCAATTTATTTTTTATAATCTAGGAACCAAGTTGCTTTGTTTGTTAACGGATAACAATATTTTTCTGAGACTATAAATATGAGATTTCGAGGTTATCGTCAAAGATTTACAAAAAAAAGGCTGGAGGCATCTTTATTTTCTTTTAAATGAAACTAGAATTTTTTGGGTTACTTTATTTTTATAAGAAACTACATACTCCCGACGTTTCGGCTACTTTACAGCAACCGTGATCACGAACAGACGAGATATCAGAGTTAAAAGTCGAGTAGTATAATCTGAAAAATATGAGTATCATTTAAATTAATCCTTACGAGTACCAATTTGATGTTTCCGAGTCATATGTACTTTCTGAGACTATTTAGACACCACTGACGGATGGAGAAGGAAAATATCATGAGGAAACCCGGACTTATAATTTCACAATTATAAGTTCGAAACCCGTCTTCAGCAAGCGTGGTGATTAATGCTCAAACTGAAATAGCTCCACAACAGCATTCCCAAACAGGGCAGATATCCGGCAGGCGGCCGGTCATAATACAAGTATCCAAAACTATGAACAACATGTTCTGTGGAAGAACATGTTGTGCCGAACCTACATAGAGTGGGACCAGGGCGGGAAACAAGGAAAAGAGATAAGTTTCATTTAAATAAATAAAACTCGCGAAAATCTTAGATCTCATTATCTTTTTTTTCCTTTGTTCTCGAGATTATTCTATTCAGAGACCCTATAAACAAACACATAAACAAGAAACTCATCACTGTCTATGATGTCCATTATGACCCCACCTTTTAAGAATCTCAAAAAGGCGAAGATAAAATTCTTATCGCAAACGGTATTGCGAATTTAAATCTACCTAGATACGCCTACCTTGTTTTAGCAGTGTAATATTGTGTAGTAATTAGTTTTGAAGTTTTTCCATTCAAAAGTTTGAATTTTTTCCATTCAATACTATTAAAGTTATATTAATTGACATACTTTTCAATATATTTATATTTCAATATATTAATTATTAATTTAATTAATATAATAAAAAAATAAAAAAAAAGTAATATAATTTTTGCAGTTCAAATAATAATATTGGAGTTACAAATAATGGTTTAAATAAAGATGCTTTTGAGTTTTTATTTACAAAATTGTCAATATGCATTAGGTTGAAATTTATTGCTAAAGATGCCATTTATTTTTTACGAAATCATCTTCCATAGCTGTAGTTTCATGGGTACTTTCGAACGTAAAATAATGTCATGAAATCAGAAGATAAATGGTGTTAAAAATAACAGGATTTTTAATAAACAAAATTATTACTTAAGAATTGTTACACATATCTGCTTAATCTTACGATATGTTAAGAAGTCTTTAGAAAATCACCAAACATAATAACAAATGCAGGTAATTTTACAGAACCATACTGTACATACCATGAAGGTGATATATATATTAAAATTATACAAAAACAAATTGCTAACCGCAAAATAAATACTAGATTATAATCCCAGTAACATTTATTTATATTTTTTCAATTGTATTATTAACATATATTATACATGTATTTTTTTAAAAACTCAAATCACATGAGGTACAAGAATAGAACCAATTAATTTATTATTTATTACCTTAGCCGATATACATATAACTTATAGCATCACAGTGAATTCATATTTAATACAATAATATGTAGATATCATAAAATTACACGTATGTGCAAAAAAATCTATTAATTAATATGTGTCAGGTTTTTCTTTTAAAATAATTTATTTTACTTTTTAAACAACAGAAAGTATATTTATATATAAAGAAATATAACAGAAATTATTTGGTTTTCTATATGTACTTTATTGTCTGTTACTTTTCCTAATCACGACTTTGGTAATATAAAAGAAAAATTATGAAAATCTTATTTCATTTCTTTTTTTGTAATAGTCATTTTTCCCTATTATATCATAGTATTCATTAAAATATAAATGAGCACATTCTAATAACCTGACAAAAAAAAATCAATTGAGAATATTTATATATCATTTACTATTTTTACAAAATTAATTACATCTTTACAATCTCTATGTTGAAAAAAAAAACACTATTTCTTAACAACAGTCTTAAAGAGGATTTCTTTGTAACTATATTCTTTGTTACATACAAATTATATGAGATTTTATATTACCAAATATTGAAATCTTGCCTTTTGATGAAAAACTTTATAATTATTATTTTATATTCTAACAATTTATGATTTATTTACAGTTTTACATATAATAATTAATTACCTGGACTAAATAGTTAGCTGTATCAAATTAAAACGAATATCTGCACTAAAAACATGTTATACATGTTACTATGTATAATAATCAACTAATAACATATTGTTATTTATGTTATGCTGATCAAATAATTATCATAAACTTGATTGGCATAGGAATAAATGATATATCTACATTATTTGAGCAAGAACAAACAAAGAAAGCATGCATAGAGAAACAAGTGAGTTTAAAACCGTCGTGTCACTGCGACAATATGTTTTATTTTCGTCCTACGCTTCAAGCCCGTTGCTCGCAACAAAGATGCACATGGTCTTGACATAATGAAAATTTTTTTTTAAACTTGAGCCCCTTTTTTCCCACTGCATAAATTTAAGGATATATTGAAAATATTTTAATCGGTTGGTTGGCTTTTATTTATTGAATGATAATGTAATGCCTTTTTTGCAATATCGAATGTGTTATTAAAATTTAAATCAGAGACAATTTCCAACACAACTGCAAAAACTTTATATAATAAAGATGTTATTGATTGTAAATAAGTGAAAGCTGTACAATTATTTACCTTTCCGGAGGCATCGATCACGATGTCTAAGCCTGGATCAGCGCTGCTTGGGCGAAATGGCATGAGGTCACAGGTGTGGTCTGTTACCGCAAAACATCACCTAAGCTCAAGGCACTAGTACACAAGAGCAAAATCCGACCAGTTCTCTTATATGGCAGTGAATGTTGGCCAGTACTGTCCACACACACACTTAGGAGCTTTACGTCACGGAGATGAAGATGCTGAGGTGGATTGTGTGGCTATCTAAGTTAGTCTTGGAGTACATGATGTACACGCCAGTCTGAGAACTACGTCGGAAATTTTGCCTTGATAGGTCTGTCTCTGGTGCAAGACCCCCCGGACCCCCAAGGAAGCAGTGGCTGGATACCGTGAATCAGGATATGAGAGCTAATGGACTTACCACCGGATATGTTGAAGACTATCCAAAGTAGAGGACTGAGTAGGACGCCAGACGCCTTGCGTCCTACTGAAAGGCGTAAAGCTGGGATAATTGCCAGGAAGAAGAAGAAGTTTAACCCTAGTTTAGATTGTACACAGGTGGATTCATTTTCAGTTTTTGTTATTTGAATCCAAACTGACGCATGCCATCCAACCTTTATAGAAGCCTTTTCTTTATTAAAGAATTCAAAACGCTTTAGCAACTGTTTTACAATTTCCAACTATCTGTCTAAAATAGATTGAAAAAGCTAAAGTAAAATTTTCATTAAAACTTTCAAAATGCAACTTTATATAACTTTTATACGCTGACTTTTCTTTAAACTTTTTTTTTTATTTTAAGATTGTTACCATATTCATTTTTATATATTATTAAGTGTAGTTACATTTCAAACATCACTTGTTTTCGTAACTGAAATCAATAAAAGGTCGAACATTTACTTCTTAAATATATGCTTATATTCATTAACAAAATTTTTACAAACACTGGACTGTACATAAATAACATTTACATATAGAAATTATGCTTCTTTCAATATGAAAAACAGTTTATACTATCTTACACGCAACTTTCTCTGGCGTTAGTTAAAAGTGTGGTCCTAGTCGTGACGACCTCCCTACGTCGTGATAGTGTTCCACTTGTCAGACGCCTCCGATCTTCACTCAGTGTACTGATGCTCTATAACATGAAGAAAATGAAATAGTATTTTCTCTTTAATAGGCCAGTGTCGATAATTTTTAAAAGAAAAAAAATATATATACATATATAGTAGGATGAAACCCTTTATAAAAGGAGGGGAATTTTAATAAAATTAAAGGAAAAAATTTTAACGGTCGGTCTGTGGTCTACAAGGCTATAGGGGTGAGTAATCAAGGGTAAAAAACGTTTTTTTTTCGATTTCCGGCAAAAAAAAGTTTTACGGGAAAAGAATATTGTGGGTAAAGTTGTACGTAATAGAAAGATCTAAAATTTTGGAATTCACACTTTTTGCACATAGCTTCAAAATTTATATGAAAAATTCAAAAAACCAAGTTCTTGGTGTTTTATTTCTACCTTTTTCAAACAATATTAGTTTGTCCCGAAATTTGGTGAAAACGTACCTTTATATATTCCAAATATATTTTATTTATTTATTTAAAATGATTTATTGCACAACACATGGAAAAACAGGGGGAAATAAGTGTACATACATGGTGCGCAAAGGCGGTCTTATCGCTTATAGCGATCTCTCACAGACAACCTTTGGTGATAGGAGCTTAGAACGAAAACAGGTAAGTGAAGAAAAAGATACAGAAAAATGAGGAAATATACAATATAATAATATTTACACTAAGGTATAGTAATAAACTACACATAACTACATCCCAATAATACATACATAGAAATATAATACATATCAAAATATATATACATAAATATAAACTACATATTATTACATACTTGCATACATTATATAGATATGGATAGGTAACGAGGTTCTCAAACGATGCTTAAATATTGCCAAGGATTTAGAATGCCGTATATCAGTGGGTAGTGCATTCCAGAGTTTGACGGTTTTCACAGTGAAAGAGTTACTATAAGTTTGTGTCCGGCTGCAGGGTGTGCAAGTTTGTTGTCCTCACTAGAACGCAGCTTGTGCGTGCTATCAAACCCAAGAAATTTGAAGCGTTCTTTAATATAAGGTGGTGTATGCTCAACATATAGTATAGCAATGAGAAGAGATAAGTCTTGCAAATTTCTTCGAAGCCTGATTGGCAGCCACTTTAACTGAGACCGATACTGCGAATCGTGGTCAGCAGGCCAAATATGAATCTAATGGCCAAATTTTGCAGCCGTTCTAATTTATTCAGAAGGTCTTCAGTTAAATCAATGTAGCAGGCGTCGGCATAATCTAATATTGGAAAAAGAAATGCATTGGCTAAGCTGATCTTAGCCTTGATGGGTAGTAAATTTTTCCAACGCCTTAAAAAACCAATGATGGCATACATCTTACGACTCATTTTTGCAACCTGAGGTACCCAGGATAAGGAAGTATTCAGAAGTATTCCAAGATTTTTAACAGTCCCTTGCAGCGGTAGTGCGAGGCCATCAATCATGATTGGAGATAGGATTTTGTCTTTGACCCTCGACAGAAGCTTAGGACTGCCAAAAACAGCTACTTGTGACTTAATGAAATGAAAACTGTAATTTATTTGATTAGCAATATTTATTTTTCAGATTTTTTTAAATTTATCTCGAAAAATAAGCCTCATATTCAATCGAAAAATGACCCGTCAAAATATCAGCATTTTCCAAAAAGTTGGTGGTTTTTACATTCGTTGAAATCTCTTTTTTCCGATAGTGAAGAAAAAAATATGAGTTTCTTACATGCGTACTGCGTACATACGTACTTTTGGATAAAATAATCATGTCCTTTTTAATAAAATGACCCTCGATATCGTTTTGAAAATGCTCTTTCAATTTATTTTTAATAGTTTTAGTAGTTTAATGTAAATTTTCTGTAAATAATTTTATTTACACAAAGTTTAAAATATATTTTTATTTTAAAGAGGGATTTTCTGGAGATCTTCCAGACTACACAACTCAAAATCGACATCGAACTACAGAAATAGAGAAAAACCGTTATTTACCCTTAAATGAGTGGGTACTCCCACACATCCCACATCGCCCGTAAATTATTTTTCCCTTAATTTTTATTCCCCTAGAAAAAATAAAAATGTAGCTAAGTATCACTGTATTCAGACTATAACATTTAAGTCAAATACAATATTGAAAGAAATATATTAGTTTAATTATAAATTACAATATGTTCTGTACAACTAACCTGTTCCTCTGATCTCGGCATATTATGAGTATGCTCTGTGTTAACTCGATCGTGGAGACTGTAAGCACTTTTGGACGCACCCACCGGTTGAATATTCGAAACAGCTATCCCGTAAGGTGGCGGTTTCGGAGAGAGCTCAGAATCTCTGGTATAATTGAAGTCTGTGCAAAACATAAACAAGCGTCGATATAACAACTTTTATTCAGCTTAGAAAGGAAAGGACCCAAATTAAGGTTGTGAGTATTGTTCTAATTATGAATAGAATACAAGGACAATTTTTTTTGCATTATGGTATAGTTGAGTGAAAATTAAAGTACAGTTCACTCATACTTGTTACAACAAGTAAATGAATTAGGCAGAATAAAAATAAATATTATAGATTTTTTAACTTACAACGTGCTTAAAAAATATTATTTAGAAGAATAATGTTAATTAAAATACTTTGCAACATTATTTTAATGGTGTATTTTGGGTTAAATTCTTTTACCGTAGTTTATTGGAATGTAAACAATGTGCATAGTATGGTCGAATAAAATACACATACACTCATCTGTTCCCAGTGGTACAACGTCTGGGTTCTTGTCGTCTTGTATAGGTGAATGGTTGGAGCTATGCATTGCACCCTTATAAGCCTTCACAGTTTGTAATGGAACTAAAAAAATCTTCAAATAAGACTCTTGTAAATATTGTTATTAATAAAATACTATTGACACTAAAACTAAAATATTACCGACACTGAAAACAAAGCAAAAAATAAAAACTGCCCTAATGTTCTTAAAAGTAAGCTTTATATTCTTGACATTTCATTCAGACACAAGCTTAAAAGTCACTTCAAGTTTCTTTATTTTTAATTCGAAAAAAGTTTACTTTGAAGGCAATATCGTATATCTCCTGATATTCGTTAGCTTTTCATATAAAATATTGTTGTCACTATCTGTCGTCTGATCCTATCTATACTAATATTATAAAGCTGAAGAGTTTGTTTGTTTGTTTGAAAGCGCTAATCTCCGAAACTACTGGTTCGAATTCAATAATTCTTTTTGTGTTGGATAGTCCAGTTATCGAGGAAGGCTGTGGGCTATATAACATTACGCTACGACTAATAGGAGCAAGGATATAGTGGTAAATGTGTAAAAAACGGGAGAAATTATTTCATCTTTGAAGCCTTCCGTTGCGTGCGCCGTGAAAACGGTTCAAGATACACAAAAAATACGTATTAAAGAATAATAGCTCTTTTAATGATATAAAAAACAGTCCGCGACAGTATATGTCTATCTTTTAAGATTAACTCACAAAAACCGTTTTTATGGTACCTAATTCGGTCGAAATAATTTTTTTACGTTGTATCAACATAATAATATTAATCTTTATTCAAATAAACAAATAAATATGTTGTTGGTTAAGAGTACTTCATTGTGAATTAAAAAAAACGTAGGTTTTATCCTGTAAATTCTACGGGAACTCGACCATTCCGAAAACCCCGCAAGAACGGGAACTATGTGGGAAAAACCAAAAATCTGCCGGAAGTCACTATTCCACGCGGACGAAGCCGCGGCAAAAGCTAGTTGAAGATAATTGTAAAAGTTTTATACCTTAAGTTCAAAGTTGATTTTTAATTTATGGTATCCAAAATGTTATACAAAAACTTAATATTATTTATACGTCTGCAGATTCAGTAAGGATTTTTTATTTAATTTTCATAAAATTATTGATCTAAATAATTCTAAAACAAAACAATGCCATCGATATTCCATGTCGATATAATAAGATTGTTGTCTGACATGCTACTCGTAAAACATATTTAGGAACAAGATTTTGTCGACGGCTGGTACTATCCTGGTACAGATTTAATTATTATAATTTACAATAAAGTATACAAATAATATTATTTTAATATACAATGTTGTAAAGAAAGGCTGGAATAGTATTTTATAAAAAGATGGAGATGTATTTTAAATGTGGTAAATAAGTTGTGAGTTTATTAAATTTAAAAGAAATTATCAAATTTAATATTTTATTCTGAATATTCTGATTATTGGAAATCGTAACAAGATTTTCCTTTTTTAGTGAACAGAAAACTTAATAAAAATGTCGACAGCTGAATGACGAAACATATGCAATATATGTATGTTAAAATCTAGAAGGACATAAATCACATTTGAAATGCAGTAAAAGGAATTTCTAACTTAGAAAGGCGTTTGAAAATTTGATACGTGAGTAATCTACTTTATCACTTTACTAAGCAAACAATTTCAATTTACTTTGTGGTTTTCAGTTTTCCTAAGTGTTATTGGTTTTTTAAATAGAATTTTTCTTTATTTTCTTTTAAAATTAAAATGATGATTACGAAAACAAAAAATTAAAAGAAATACTTTTTCTGAGTAGTCATAGTTTAATAGGGATATGAAAATATACTTATATAAAAGAAATCATATGCTAACATACTCGTAGCACCCAAAGAAGCTCTTCAAATATACAAGGTCTTAAAATTGTTATTACTGTTATTCTAATCCTATAAATTTATGATTGAAAATATTCAACAGTTTTTAATCTATTAGGTATACAATGTTTTAATACTCTAGACGTAATATTTTCAGTTTTATAATATAATGTTAGTACATTACATATTTGAAATGTTTTGTCACTGTGGGTGATAACGGTGTCATAAAAATTCAAACTTTAACCAGTTACAAGTCATCCTGTAGATATTATGTGCGATAGTGTACGTTTCCACTATGAAACAACTAAAGCTTCACAACAACTAATGCTGTTTTGAAATGGATCTGGGAAACGTTTTTATAAAGCTTTAACATTGCATTTTGGTTAAATGAAAATTTAATTTGTATTTGAATATCAATGGCAAAGGGAGGTTTTGAAATAATAATAATAAAATTGTCAATGTGTATGTCCTGTTAACTTAATTCTCATGGTCCTATACATATTTAACAAATGAAATATACATTTTCAAGAGTCTGAAACGTATTTTAATCAGCTGTGAATGTGAATGCAAAAAAATATCTTCGATAAGAAATTAAATTTTTTTAAACATTTACCATCATATTCCAAAGGCCTCTGTCGCCTTCGAGCCAAGACGGTAATTACAGCTACAGCGGCAAGCGTACCCAATGCACCAGCTACAATGACCAGGGCCCAGTTCGTGTCAATTATCATATAATTGTTCTTCGCTTCTTTGTAATGAAATTGAATATTTATAATATAACTAGGACAATAGTTCAAAATGTTACAAATTTAGTTAGTATGAAATGGTACTGAAATTAGTTTTATGTCTTCAAAAAATTACCTGTATATATAGCTAATCTTGACAAAGTGTGTACTCTAAGTGTAGTTATTTCAGATCTCCCCCTTGCATTGTTAGCGTAAAAGACGAGTTGTAATGCCTTCCGAAATCGAAGCCCTTGTAACTTCCAAACGGGAAGTATTGTTGACACATTTGCTATTAATTCATCCGCTTCCCATGCTTCCATAAAATACGTAGTTTGAAGACCTCCATCATAGCCTAAGATAAGAAATAGTAATCAACTATAAATTATTGTAATTCTTATTTTATCATAAAAGTTTTTTTGATTAAAATAACATAGTTTCAACTTTCAACAACTGTTTTTGTAGTCCTAAATTATAAAAGTAAATCAAATGTAAAATAAACAAATTAATTACCATTATAAAAAAAAAATTAATTAATTGGCGGAGATACAGAATCGTCATGACCATGGTCAGAAATATTTAAATCCTGTAGGCGTATCTTTTGGGTGAACAAGTAAAAAAAGAAACTACATCATTTTGTTGAAAATAGTCTAATAAGTCCAGTCAGTTTCGTCTACCACTCAAACCAGTCGCGTTTCGCGTATGCACAAATAATACTGAAAAGTACAAACGTTGCAGAGCTCGTCGCCTCCACAAACGGAAGAACCGAAACGCCGTTGAAAACGTCCAAACAGCAATCAACGAAGTAATCTCCTTTACTAAAAAATGGCGCATTAGTCTGAATGAAAGCAAGTCAATTCATGTTGACTTTACAAATAAGAGACCGCATTATTTTCCTGTATTTATGAATGGTAAACAAGTACCGTACGATAATACAGCTAAATATCTAGGCATGACTTCAGATGTCAAGAAGAAAAGATTGGAATAAACATACGTTACCAGAAGATGTACTGGCTGCTTGGGAAAAACTCTCTTGTATCAATACACAACAAAGTCCTACTATATAAACAGGTATTGATGCCAGTATGGACGTATGGTATCCAGCTATGGGGTTGTACCAGTAATAGCAATCGCCAGATAATACAAAGCTTCCAAACTAAAACGCTCAGGGATGTTGTAAATACGCCCTGTTACATTCATAACTGTGATCTACACCAAGACCTGAACATGGACGTCGTAGATCAAATCAACAAAAATATACCGAAGCCCAATAAATTGAATAACTTGAATAAAGTATTGTAAATAAAATAAAATTATTAAGTATTGTATACTTTATTAATTATTGTATACTTTAATAGGGGAAAAGAAGTTTAATAATTAACTTCACACTATATTTAATGAATCACTGCCAATACGCAAACGAAACGAGTAACAGTTCCTAGTGTAGAAGATCCGATATTCACGACAGCTGGATGGCAAGTGCCTCCTGTGATCGGCGTCCCTGCCCAGCTAGACTCTGTCGTAGCACGAAGTTAGTCAAGTGTCAGTGGAAAACGTTATCGCCACGTCGCTTTCCTCTATCGGAACTCGTGCTTAACTTTGTTTACCGTCTTTACTCGTGATTGTCTCCGACATATTATATAAGTATTATAAACCAAAAAAACAATAAAAAAAGGATATCAAGAAGAACCTCAGGCTTACCAGCAACACATTTTACTTCGGCTGAGTCACCAGTCAAGTTCAAGGTCGAACAGTTAGCAGGCGGGTCAGGCTTGACGGCCGGTAGTAGGGTGTATCTGCAAGGCTCTATTTGTTGTCCAACCAAGTTTGTAGCTCGACAAACCAACGACCCGTAGTCCATGTCAGAAGTTGGTATGTACGTGAGTATAGAACGTCCCGATTTTTCTATCGTGAACTTTCCCTGATGAAGTTTTTATTATGTACTAGTTGTTATTGCTTCGTGAATGTAAATGGTTGGTATAATATTTATCGCAGCTAGTCTTAAAAAAATAACAAAATATCATTCTTAAAATAGTTCATTAAACAACTCTAATTAGGAATGTTCCTTTAAGGTAATACTTTTTTAATTAAAATGTATTATGAAAAAACTAATTAAGCGTTTCGCTAAACTATTTACACCTTATGAACGTTTAGTACAACTTTCAATATTAGTTTTATTTAAATGAGTATGGGTAAACGTCTCATTTGTCATTTATTTATTCAGAGTTAAATAGTAATTATATTCAGCACTTCAGAAATCTTAATATTAAAATTGTATTACAGTTTACAGAAACATCATCGAAAATGAATTCAAAGTATCATAGCAATCACAAAAATGGTTTTACATAATTTTGATTTATTTTCCTAATATTATAAGGTTCAATCAGACAAAATTGTAATAGACAAGATAAGTACAATCCGAAGAACGAATTTTTAATAAAAAAACATCATGCTTTCCAATTCCAAAATCATCAAATCAGATGAAAAAGAAATCTCGTACGAATTTAATAGAAGATAATGTTATACATATATATATGTATGATTATAAGAAGAAAATTGATTAAACACACGTTTTAATTTAACAATGAAATAAAAAAGTACTCACCGTATCTAACTCAGTAGTTCCCAAAGTGTTATTGAGTGTCCATTGAAAGTTCTTTGGCAGTGGGAAGGCATCGACTTCACAGGAGACTCTAGCTGCTTCATTGACAGCTATGCCTAAAATTGCTGTCATTGCGTTCTTGCATATAGGTTTATCTGTATAGAAGAATTTTATAATTTATCTCCAGGATTGCACTTCGTATAGTCCATCTCAAAATCTAAGAACAATAGATCAATAAAATCTTACTATTTCACATCACAGAATTTTTTATCTTAGAAATATTAACAAGGTTCGGATTTAAAAAAAAACTGTTTGGAAGAAGAATGGAACTATGTTTGGTATAAATATGACGTCTGGACGCACAACGGCAGAGTACATTGAGTGCGGACCATTGGAAAATGTGATTGTAAAGAACCTTTGAGAAATACAAGGAAATTTAGAACAATTATTAAAATTTTATTTTAAAATATCATGGGATGTACAAGAAGAAGTGACATTAGTGACGTCAGCGAGGCTGGGGTCTTTTTCCCTAAAAACAACGAATTTGTAATAAATCCGATATCAGAAGTGGGATCGCTCTCGTGATCAGTTACGGCCTGTCTTAGTGTATTGTAAATCTAGATCCAGCTCAAGAAAATAACCTTCCGGAGAACTTGCGTAATGAAGAACGTTTCTCACTTTTTCATGCAAATTATATCCAATGTGCAAAGCGTGAGCGAAAGTTTACGACAAAAAATAACAAGGGATAAGGATTATAATAACTGAGAAGATCATCTTAATTTTTATCATCTTTTGACCCCGTTGTTACAAAAACAGCGTTAAGTATTAAATTTTGAATAGAAAAGAATATTCACTGATAGATTAAACTTTCGATCTGAGCTCTTCAATGGACCAGACACGAAAAATGTAGTGTCTGTCGATATTTACAATTTTGCATTACAAACAAAGTGTTTAGCTATTATCCTAGCTGCAATCCTTGTCAAAAACCAAATGAGTTTTCCTGATCCAATATTACTGTATTTTTAGTTGGTGTGTCTAATTATATCATAATTAAAGTAATTTACGGGGTCCTAATGCAAAATACTTAGATTCTGCTGTGTTTGAGTGATAAGTACCTCAAAATAGTCACAGTTGCCTTGGCAAATATTGTTAATAAACATATGTATATCTGTCCAAATATTTGCACAGAACATGTAGGGAAGAACAAGAAACGACTACCCGCATCATTATACAATGCAGTTATGGTTCTGAAGTGATTCTTCGTAATGCTAAGTATCGTGTAGTTCCAAGGGCACAGAAGACGACTAACGTTGAGAGACTAACTCATCGTATTACGCCCTCTGCGTCTCCTTCCTTCAGCCTTGCCAGTTACCATGAGCTTTTAAAGGTTATCTTCGCTTCTTCTGGCAGTATGGCCGAAGTATTCAAGGATTCGAAGCAGGCAGATGTTTGAAAGGGACTTTGTAATTTTTAGTTCTTTTAGGATAGAAGCGTTGGTCCTGCGTCCTCCTGTCCTGCAGGACAGCAGGACAGGAGGTCCGCGCTCGAGTAAGCTGTCTACGAGGCGATACACTTTGCGAAAGATAGATACGGGAGGCACAGGATATACAAACTCCTCGATTGTGTCCAGGTTTAATTTTTAATTCAATTTAATTTTTGTATATTTCATTGAAACTATTATTTTTATTTGTTTACAGTTATATTGGTCACAGTCAGTGTATATTAATTAGAGTCAGCCGATTATTCTAAGTCAATACTTACAAATAACTTGAAGAGACACAGGAAGTGATCGGCCATCCCCTTCCACGTTGCTAGCAACGCAGACATACTGTCCGGCCTGATCCCGCGACACTCCCTGTAGAGCGAGGTGCGCCGACCCAGCTATTACTCCAGCACGTTGGTTGTGTATCATTACCTGACCCTGTCAGTTATTACAACATTAGTAACCTTTGTTGTTTATTGACAAGGAAGTTTAAATTATTCTTAAAATAATCAGGTATGTAGATACACTATATTTCATTGTCGCAGCATTATTGAATATGAAATCGTTTCCTTTTTACACATTAATGTTTATAAATTCCGTTAAAGTATAATAGGCAAATTGCCACTATTTTTATTATTTGATAAAATGGTTCATTAGGATTATATAATGCGCCATAAAAAATATCAAATTGTTTAGAAGCACCTATCCTAATATATTTCAAATTTTAAAATATATTTCAGCTATACAGCCATAAACGAATATGCGAAACACCTGATTAAAACCAGCTGAAGGAGATCCCGTAACTCTGTCCAGTGGAACTGCAGTGTATTTCTGTGAAGATCACTTTAATGGAAGTTCTAGAAACTAACAACAAATTATTTTTTCAGTTTAAACTATTATTTATTTAAAAAAAAAATTTAATAAATTTTCAGTTAGCAACTATGCGTTGTCAATTGGCCACGTATTAAAATTGGTTCTGTTTTTATTTTAGCTTAAGTGACATGGAAGATTATATCTTCTATCTATATATATAAAAATGGATTGCTGTTCCTTAGTCTCGCTAAAACTCGAGAACGGCTGAACGGATTTGGCTAATTTTAGTCTTGAAATACTCCTGGAGGTCCAGAAAAGGTTTAAAAGGTGAGAAAAATTGGAATAATTGCCGGGAAAACTCTAAAAACAGCCCTTTTCTATTTCCCATACAAACGATTTTTGACATTAGACTTGATAACTAACTAATATGTCAATCATTCAGTTCGATTGAAACAGTAGAAATTTAATAAATACCAATACCGGGTTATTGAAGATGGAATAGAGTTTGCCCGGTCAGCTATACCTATATTACTAAATTCGATACCTCCTAAGTATACTGAGTCAACTAACAAATTTAGGTATTTTTATATTTTTATATAAACGTACGTGATAAGTCGTGATCTTAACGTTTGTGTTAAAAAAAATAAAAAAAGAACGATAATTACCGAAATAATTTCACGTATACTAAATCAACTGCAACATCAGTAAAAATCATACATTGTAAACTGATCTAACTAACATTGTACCAGTGTACGCGGGGCGTGAGGGAGGACGCGTTGATACAACTACATCGCACCTCAATATAAGACCATGGGCGTCGAGTGCTATTAGTAACAAAATGAAGTCAAACAGCAATTTTTATTATAAACGGAAACTTTCTTTGTATAATTTCACAATATTCAATATGGGAACTCGTCAGGGTTATTGTTTTTCATGTCATCAACAGACAGCAAAGAGAGGCGCTAATGAAATTTCCAGCTGTGTTTTCAAGTTTATAGAGGATACGGTGGACAACTGTGGAGGCCAAAATAGAAACAGAATTGTATTTTTAATGTATATGTTAGCTAGTTTGAAGTTTGTTATAGATATTAGTTGTGGGTCACACTCAAAATGAAGGCGACAGTATGCACGCTTTAATTGAAAGACAGACTAAAGATAAGTTGCTTTATACGCCTGATCAATGGTATACAGCTTTTAGATTTGCTAAATCTGATGAAAAGCTACACAAAGTTACTAAAGTGTCACAGGATTTAATTAAAGACTTAAATCACAGCTAAAACTTATAAACAACTGGACAACTACCAACGATGGACCCAAAATGCCCTGGAATAAGGTAACGGAAGTAGAAGTTAAAGCGGAATATCCATTTAGGCTGGTTTATAAAACGAGTTACCAAGATGATTCTTACAAGTGGATAGATTGTGTAAAAAAACCTAAAGCTACACGAAATCGAAAGAATTAAATATTGATGTAAACAATAGTTCTTTAGCTTATTAGAGACCCATTCTTATTGACCAAAATAAGCACAGAGACTGATGAACCTTTGTAAGACGCTGGAAATTCCTAAGGAGTACCATTTATTTTTTAATAATTTGATTTCAACGGACTCTAATGAAGTTAACGACAGCGATTCTTTATATTTTTTGAGCATTAGAAAAGCCTTGACTGTTGTGTTATTAATTTCTATTATTTTTATTAAAATTGTATAATGTAAGTTACCATTTTTAATTCTTATAATTTTTGATGACGTACTAGAGAAGCACCTGTTTAATTTCTTTTTATTGATTGTTCATTGTTTTTCTATGAAACTTTGATGATGGGACATTGATATTTTGTTAAATGTTTATGTGTTTTTTCTTCTAGCTTTCTAATGGATCTTACAATAGCGATTCTGACTGATTTCTAATTTGTTAAGCCTTGTCACTAATTTTTGAGCATTAGAAATACCTAGACTGTTACGTTATTAGTTCCTATAATCTTAATTAATGTTTAACGTAAGTTACCATTTTTAGTTCTGATTATTTTTATTGACCAACTAAAGGAGAAGCTGTTTTAGTTTTTATTTTGACTGATAATTGTTTGTTGTTATTTATGGAACTTTAATGATGGAGCATTCACATTTTTAATAGTGATTGGTTTACGTTTAGCTTTTTATAAAACAATCATTTTAAAAAGATATTCCTACTTAATTATGGCGAAAAGTAAATTATGATTCTTCAGAATGAGTTTTTTTTTTGGTTTATAATTCTTGTACTTCTTCCTAGCTTTTATTAATCCCACATATCGTAAAATATTAAAAAAAATATTAATAAAAAACCTCGCGTAAATTACATTGGTCCAGTATACGTTGAGGTTTCAAATGCTAACATTGCTAGTACTTTCCTCGTATAATGAGTCAAGTGATATAATTTCAACATTTTATTATTAAGTGAGACAGAAAACCCCGAAAATGAATAAAAGTAAAAATATATTCATAAAATGACCACCAATTTTCATGTGGTTTAGGTGTAAACGATGGATTTTGGTGGACAACGTATATGAATATAACTGGTAGTTAAACCATTTCACTATTGAGCCCCGCCGGCGTATACCCAGTCATCTACATAAAATGTAATCTAAAAACAAAAATCAGCAAAATCATTATATGTCAAAGGAAGTGCTTACAATTTTTATTAAAAAAACATTTACTTTATTTCGAATTAATTTGATTTCATTAAAATATAAACGATTTGCCTTCAAATCACTCTCCTGTAAAATTACAATAATGTCAGTTGACTCATTATACTTAGGAGGTATCGTAATGACGAAATTAACGCGGACGAAGTCGCGGGCAAAAACTAGTACAATATAAAATCATGGGTTCAGTTAAAAGAATCAGAATGAAATCTGTGTTCCAACTCGATTTATGTAGATGTCAAAAGGAGAGAAAACGCAAGGATTTGGTAACAAATGATGAGGATGATGTCAAGAAAAGATTATACTCCATTGAACAATATTTATTTCTTTTTACGTGTAATAAATAATTATCAAGGCGTATAAATGAAAGACCACGAATAACCTGAAATAGCGTTTGACATTATGTTGTTTACAATATTGTGACGTAGAAACATGGCGGACGGTGTTTTCAATCAAGAGAAAAAAAGTAGAGAATTTAACGAGTTTCAGTTGAATTTTATATATTTCGAACCCTTGTACGAAGCAATATTGAATTAAAAGTTATTTTTATAAATGGTGACATGAGGCAACTTGCCTTTTCTAATAAAAAAAGATATTAAGATACAATAATAAATGCAATGTTTGCAATCAAACATAGCATCTGAGTATTTATTAAGCTTTGCGGAACTACATACATATACCTAATATAGATATAGCTTTTCTTCACTTATTAATAGCTTTTATAAAAGTATGTGCTGTCGTTTTTTTCGTTTTTTTTTGTATTTTTTTTAATAAAAAATCTACAACTTGCAACTTTATTTTCTAAATTACTCCTCTATAAAAAAGCCGAGTTGATGTGTGTATTTAGCCTTTTCACTTACATTGTGCTCCCAAACAACTTTGTACGATGGCGGATTTGCTCGCACGATGCATTCGAAGTAAACATCATCACCCTCTTCAATATCATTAGGGTTCAAGTTAGAACCTAATTGTAGTTCGACGATGGGAACATCTGCAAATTATTAAAAGATTACTTTATTGAACTAAGAAGAATTTTTCCCCCTATAATAACATTTATTAATTTCCGTCTATAATCCCAAAACAAGCTTTTTAATTGCATATTCGAAACCTTAATATATCTTTAATTTAGCCATTGTTATGGTAATTATACTAAATTAATATTCAGAAAATAAGTAGCCTATTACGAAAAGTTCAATTATATTATATTTTGTACATAAATACAAAAATTTAAGTAAAAGATATAAAATCACGATGACAAGATCATTGATATAGTATGAAAAGAAAGTAACAGTTCTTTAATTAAATTATCGTCGGAGTGTTCATGACTTTTATGGCTTAAGTTCTATAAATATACCTATGATGATTATATCATTTGTATCCCTCTTCTATTTTGATACATACATCAAAACCCATAGTCATAGTTTTTAGATTAAAAAATACTGCTATTGTTGTTAAATATTAAGAGTAATGCGGATTGAAGACGACTAAAGCAAGTTCAAAATAAGATCGTATGTACTTATAAATTACACAATAGAAAATACGCAAATGATATTTTTGAAATACTTTACTGAACGAAATGTGAAACCTAACATATTATAACCTTTTGAAATTATGTTGTATAAGAATCAAAATTACGCAAAGGTCGCATACCTCTAGAACCCTTTTAATGATTTCCTTCGAAATTGTATAGTCAAATGAAATGGTATTTTTTATTAGAAAACATTATTTAAAGCTTTCCGAAATTAATATAATAATAAATAAATCCATGCTTTTAAGTTTAAAAATAATACACGTTCTTAAAATATAAGAGGTGAGGTTTTTCTTTAAATATAAGAGGTGCGGTTCTTTTTGAGGTGGCAGAGCCTAGTTGTAGTCAATTTACTACATCTCGAACATGGGCTGGCTCGACCGGGAAAGTACCACCCTCTCACAGAAAATCGGCGTAAAGTAGTCTTTAAAGGCTGCGTTTCGTCCGGTGAGTGAGAGAGCCGGTTGCCCTTTTCCTTTTCCCAACCTTTCCTTTCCCTCCCTTTCCCACCTTTTCCTCCTCCTTTTCCCCAATCAAGGGCATCAACACATCCGCAAATCTGCGTTGCGGATGTCCATGGGCGACGGTATCTACCTACCATCAAGTAGGCCGTCGGCTCAGTTGCCCCCTTTTCCCATAAAAAAAAAAACAAATAAGAATGTAATATTTTTTCAACAAGTGAATATTTGAAAGTTGTTACATGTCTTTGTATCTACATTGCATAAGAATTTACGTTATATTCCTGTAAATTTTGTATGTATATATTTTCAAAAGCTCTTCGAGCTTTTACACTTTTGAAGTTCAAGACATTGTTAATGATAACGATTTTTAGGATTTCTATTATTTAATACAAAATAAAACTTAAAATAACAAAAAGAATTACAGTGCAAATCAAGTGTGATAGTAGTTTCCAACGTAGCATATTCTAGTATTGGATGAGATGCCCTGCAGGTGAGTACTCGGCCGTTGTGTTCCATTCGCGGAGTCCAACGTAGGAACGATATCGTCTCATTACGGTCTTCTGAGTTCTAAAACAACACAACCGTTTTTCAAACTATTATAAAATTATTCATTTATTTTCTGAATATTGTAGTTAATCATAAGTTAACCAAGAAGTTGTGGGGAAAAAATATCAAATACTAACATACGTCAATCGTTGCTGAACCTTGCTTCTTACGAGAAGACAAGAAATATTTTAATAATCAAATACATATATATTACTCAACTGAGAGGGACATATAATAAATCCTTTAAACCATGAAATAGCTTAATTAAATATGGAACAAAAAAGATAATACCGTTTGTGGAGTATTCACAACCATCTTTTTATCAACAAGCCACCAAGTAATGGTTGCAGGTGGTCTAGAACCAACTGCTTTACAAGCGATATCAGTTTCTTGGCCCACAGACAAAGGTTGCTCTCTTTCCAAAATTTCAACTGATAATGGCCTCACTGCAAAATACAAAAATTTGTACATGACTTCATACCGCTGATATAAGAAAACAAATAATAAAGAAATAAATCACTTTCAATATATTTAGGACTAAAGAATCACATATATTTGTAAAGATAGATAAACAATATTATTTTATATTTGGGTAAACTAGTTTATTCCTTTTACATATTTTTATGCATTCGTTCTTTTATATGTCTTCATATTTTATGGCATATTACGCAATACAAAAGCAATACTAGACTGCACGAAACATGAATATTTTGAATTTCCCAAACTTTTTAGCAGACGTGAATTTAGGTTTTATTAAAAATGCTTCATTCATATTTGTTTTTAAATTTAACAACTCAATTTGTAACTCTCGGTATAGTTTCTGTTATATATAGTACATATAAGCCCTTAAAGTCAGTGGTGGCCTGGTGGTTAAACGGCCCGCCTCTCATGCACGAGGGCGCGGGCACGACCCTGGCCCTGGCAAGTACCAATGTGATTTTTCCGAAGTCATATATACTTTCTATGATTCAGACATCACTGATGAATGCAATCCCAAAGAGGGTTGATGTCAGGCAAGCGGCCGGTCGTAAAAACATTTAACTAAAACTATTGACAACATGTAAGGCAGACCCTGGCTAAAGCTGGGAAATTCCCAGGTAGAAGAAGAAGATAGTATAAGCCCTGCTTTTTTGTTATTATATAAGATTTATTTTAATAAAGTGAAATCAGATTCTTGTAATAGGCTAAGATGTACATATTTCATTATTATCTTTTAAATGTAATAAAAGGTGAACGAAATAATTTCACTATATCTTGAAGTTTGGGCTATTCATGCATTCAAAAAAAAACATTGTTTTCAAATCGTTTTATTCTTTTTCTGGATATCCGTTTTATTAAATAAATTTGATCTTGTAATTTTACACATTTCTTGTGCACTGCATCGCGTTGCTTTAAAATGTTTCTGCAGTACTTATTTTTATACAAAATAAACATTAAGATATTAATGTATGTTTGTGCGCAATTCTACATAATGTATACATATATTACAAATAAGTGACTTTACGGTTAAAATTACGACTACGTATCATAATTTCCTGTTATCGCGAGGTAATGGTGTTAAAGCAGAACAAAGGTAACAAATTAAAACTTAGGGTTTGTCTGGAAAGGACACAAACTAATCCATAAGCTGATAGCATTACTGTGATATGTGAAATTGACATGCTTGTTATTATGTGTAGATTAATCGTGACCGTTGTTATGAAGTACATTAGGGAAATACTATTAAACACAATTGAACATATTATATATGTTAATAAAACATAAAGCATAATGCAAATAGTAAATAATTTAGACAGTTTTAAAATATACATAAGTTAAAAACATCAATAGAGACATCATAATATGATAATAGTAATTGTATAAATGTATTGATATCACCAAATATTTAGAAATTGTTAATTTCCACGATAATTTCTGTAGCAGTATTAGTACTGTTTAAATAAAACGAAAATATTAGATATAGCTAAGGACAATTGCAGTCACGTGTGAGAATGTAATTCTACTGGACGAAAAATTCAGTAAATTGCTTTGCTTTTTGTGGGCCACGTAAGGAGAAAATGTAATTTTACCTTAAATGGGTCCTGTATTCCACAATTCTGTTATTTTATAAGTTAAGCAAATTTGTAAATTTTCAGCTTGTCATCTTTGAAGAAATCATTTTGCTGACATTTATTTTTATGACACGGTAAATTTAATAAACATATATTTACAGCCACTAGAACATTAAACTGTAGAAAAGACAGAAGATAGCTGTAGTTAAATGCTCACAGCATTCCATAGATATATGTTGCGGTTGCCGGGTCCATCACGTTGCAGCGAGAGGAGCTTCAACAGTGTCTGGGATTTACGACCGAGGTGTAGGTTCAAGGGGCTTCTGTCTAACGCGCGTAAACGCTCACCTCCACTGCCCAAGCTAAACAAATTTGAAAAGAACCTACTAGGGCCGCCTTCGAAGTACATTCCAAGAATGAATTAATGTCAGTTCTGGACAGCCCCAAGTCGTTTAGTAGGATGAACCTATTTATAGTTAGTTGGTTAGCGAGCTTGAAACATTTATTGACCTTGATGGCATTGTCTTTGGGGATGTTGGTTTCCCGAGGAACCGTAAGCTCTATCATCTCAACGCGCTTTAAAATTCCACCATTATAGTCCAATCCGAGGCCGCTTTAAGGATGGAGTAAGACTTGACTTTTGATTTTGTTGCCCTAGTTGCTTCTCTCACAAAACCTACTGATCGCTCGTTTGTGCTTATTCCCCTTTGCGCTCTGACTGTAGCCTGCAGAAAGACTAACCGCTTCACGTATAATTTCTAAAACCCTATCATGACGACTCGAGAAATATTTTAGAAAAATATACGAAAAACACGTGGTGGAAAAGACAAATATCTTGCGGCGTTTGTAGACCAAAAACTATTGATTTTATGAAAAAAAATATTAATACATGAATTGTATACAATTTTGTCTTGTTTCTCATTGCATATAAATATTTTTTTTGGACAATGCGTCGGAAAGAAGATTTTCCCAAAACGACGGTTTTAGTCGCCAATTTTTCAATATGGTGGTGTGAGCGGCGGGGGTCCGAGGTGGCAAAGGTGAATTCGAAGAGCTGCATACCTTAATCAATAATACTATAAATTTTCAGAACTCCTGGAAAACTTTCCAGGTAAACAACTTTTTTCGCACCAAATGACTGGACTACTTATTATCTGTTGGAAATTCTGGTTTGTAGGTAATATTTTTTGCAATAATTTGATATCTTAATTCATGTTCTTGCAGCTCGCAAAACTAATCATAAATTGAGGCAGAAAGAATAATGTGGTGGATCACATAAGTGCGTATTCAGATTCCAACTGAGAATACTTTTGTATAAATGGATTTTAATCTTTTTGCAATTAAGTAATAGCATCTAGCTCCGGCCAGGCTTACAGGCAAGAGGAATGTCAATCCCGCTTAAATCGAAAGTATAAATTGTATCATACTTATATATATTGACAACAATAATACAATCTCATTTGAGGCAACAGGCAAAAATAAGCAAGTTATTTTCAACACTACTGTCAGAAATCTCTGAGGCATTGAGCATCCAATTATCAAAGCCATTCGTTCCTTCAAATTTGCTTGTACTCAGTTCGTTCTTATAACCTGAGATACACGAATATAAGGGTAACTGTTAGATCATTTTAATCCACAGTAATGTAAAGGATGTGTGATTTATAATATCGAAATTTAAGTCATCATCATTAGGTATCCGAAGATAAGTAAGTGGTTTATGAAAGTACACTGGAAAACTTGTTTTGAATCAGTGTTTTGCTCTTCCATTAATTTATGTCTAATATTTGTAGTTAAGGTAATTTAATATTAAAAAAAAAAACCATTTGTTACATGCCACGTAAGTTCAATTAATATTACTGACAAATAAATTACCTTATGTTAATATTATATATACATTATTATTAGTTATAATTTGTATAAGAATTATAATCTTCTAAATACACAAAGGAAAATATATTAATGCTTATTTCTATTTTAAAGAAAAACGTAATTTTACAAATTTTCTTAACCTTATTTCTTTGTTATTATAATTATTATTCTTTTAATGTGTAGTATAAACTGTATGCTTGAAGACACTTCAATGTCATTTTTGGAGCTCCATACTTTACAGTTTACACTATCCTACAATGGCCGACCCAGGGGAGTCAAGTTATGATTTATATGAAGAGTTTATTTATGTACTCAATATACTGTTTTAGGTCACACCGGTGTTTTCTATTTAGTCAAAAAAAATTCTTGGACCGTTTCATGTTTTATTTGGATGTTGATGGTGCTATAATACTAATTAGTGTTATATTTTTTACATTTAGGTCAGTAATGGCAAGTTTATATTTCATTGCTGTTGCATCTTTGTACTCTTACTAGTCATATGTACTTCAATTAAAAAATATGAATTAATTTTTACTTATGTACTACACATATATTTTAAATATGTACATATAAATACAATACGACTTACAGTACAATTGTATTTGCACGTTGACTCGTAAAGGCGACACTATTGGAGTATTATCCGCTGTACAACTGTAAACCGCTTCGAAGTGATCCCTCTTTAGAGAGGGAATCCTTAGTTCCAGGAGACTGAGCCGTGTATCATCCTTGACTGGATCCAGTTGAGCGAGAACTTTGTCCTTTTTCCACCATCGTATGCGTGGCATCGGTCTACCTATATACACATTTCATAAAATATTATAACTATTCAATAATAAGACATCTATACTTGCATTAGTTAAGTTAACAAAAGGGTAATCTAAATAAATCCTTATGTAAATATTAATATAGATTTTAAATTTCTTTTTATTAAAAATATTAAAGTGATTACCTTGTTTAGGAATACTCTAACTTCAAGTTAAAAATTAATAACGCCCGGGTTAGCTATTTGTGATATTTTTCTTACTTTTCTAATTTCACATTTTAAGTAATAATCAGTAAAAGTCTATAATGAACTATCGTTCATAAGAAATAAGTTATTTATTTAATTTTTATGTAAAGTAAAGCAAATAACTTCACAAAGAGGATAACTTGTTAAGTATGGGACCACAAAATTTATATGTAAACTACATAGTTTACCTCCGCTTACAATACAGTTAAGTTTGAGACTTGAATCTTCTACGTATGGTCCGGCCGATCCTATAACTTCTATATCCTTTTCATCATATATTTTTGGTTTTTCTGGAAGTTCTGCAAAAAATGTATATTTTTTACAATAAAATATGTACTCATTTGGTTGTAATAAATATATGGTTGTATCTTTTCAATTCAAAACATATTTCAAGGTTTTGCTTATTTGTTAACATTTCTGTGGTCGACTTATGACTTATAGCTGTAGTGATGAATTGCTGGGATTTTTCAGAACTGTAATAAAATATTGAAAAATAAACAAACGTCTGACCTTCTTCTCTCTATTTAGAGCTTTATATTCACAGTGTGAAGTGAGGTCATGACACATTTAAATCCACTACCAACTCTAAAAATTAAAAGGAGATAACTCTTTCGGGAATAGAAACAATATTTTTTTCTGTAACCTGATAATAAATCATGTCAAGAGAGTAAAAATATATGGTGTTTTCTCATATTTAATTACATTTTTTTACAAATTTTCAAATACAAATAACACATATTTAAAAATATTTTATTTAATATTTACAGGTTATGTTTCCATGTTTTAGGTATACTTAAAGAGATCTAATATTTTCGCGAGAATTCATTTTTGTGAAAATCTACATATTCCCGACGTTTCGGCTACTTTTCTACAACCGTGATCACGATGAGACGAGGTGCCGAGAAAACTCATAAGGTAAGAAATAGTTGTATATAAGTTTCTTATTTAGCTGAACTGGGAATTTAAAAATGATAAAAGTATTTTGTTCTCATATACCCAATTTAAAAAAAAATAATGATAACCAACAACTATATTTTTATATAGAAGCTAACCATCAACACAACTCGCACGTAACTTTTCTGACCAATATTAAATTTATATTATATTAAGTTCTCACAAAGACCTTTGAAGAAGAAAAGAGAAATTTTTCAATGACTACTATCAACTTCACTGCATTATTGAAGTCGATTTACCATATTTATATTAAAGAATATGAAACATTGTCAAAGTATTCATTATGCGAATAAAAGCCGATATTTTTAAGCGCTTAGTGATGATAGAGCTTACGGTCCCTTGGGAAACCAACATCCCCAAAGACCATACCATCAAGGTCAACAAATATTACGAGCTCACAAACGAACTCACTCGAAATAGGTTCGTCGTAGATTTGTACGCGGTAGAGGTGGGAGCGAGAGGTATAATAGCGAAATCTCTCTACGACCTACTAAAAGACTTGGGCTTGTTCAGAACTCACATTTATGCATTCTTGGAACGTACATCGATGGCAGCCCTAGTTATTTTCAAATTTGGTTAGGTAGGGAGAGGAGCTTGGACAGTGGAGGTGAGCGTATAACGCGCGTTAGTTAAGGGGCCCCTTAAACCTACACCTGGTTCGCAAGTCCCAGGCACTGTTGAAGCTCCTCTCCCTGCAACGCGATGGACCCAGCACCCGCACGGTGAATCCATTGAATGCTAAGAGGTTTCGTCTCGTCTCTGCTTTTGTTGAAGAAAAGATCTACGGTGATAAATATGGGACACACGAGGACTCCATAATTAAGTTACCCTACATTAAACTTTTTTTGCCAGAACGTTTATCGCTAAAATAAAAACATTATAGTTCCAAAGACAAATTACTTTCGAACCAAAGCAATCTCATCATCCTTATTGTGATTTTGAGATATTCACTTGGGAAATTATGAATTATGTTTTTAAATGTTTTCGCTTTCACACAGATTTCAAGTATACCTATGGAACTTACTTTGTATTATAAATATTGTTGTGTACTTGTTTCTGATTTGCCTTTTATTTAGATTAAAGTATTAAGTTAATAAATATTAAAATATTTTATTGCTACGTCTAAAATATATTAATCTGAAATTAAAAAAAACAGTATATAATTTATTTAGGTGTAATTTAAGTACTCTGTTGACATAATCAATGGACAAGAAAATTTAAATAATATGTTCATACATTATTACTTATACCTATGATATATCCCTATATAACATATACTTCCTAATTCCCCTATAATTTGTGACAGTGCTTCACGACATCACTGAATTTGGAAGTTGTGGTCTTCATTAAAGTGAAAATTGTTCAAAAAATTCACACACTCAATGTGTATGGTATTGTATGATAAGGTATTCAATGTTCCCTTGTACATTTTTTTTTGAATTTTGGAACCCCTTTAATGAATATCTAGTTTATTGTGATCTCCCGCTATGTTACTTTTGCAGTAATATGTATGTAGCTGTTTTGAATCCCTTCAATCACAGAGTGTTTGAATTTTAAATAGATTTTTTTTTCATCTTCAAACACCCAACTCTACTCGTACTATATATAGCTGTTGTACCTTATATACAGTTATATATAACGAAAATGTTATTTTTTAGTTTTAGTATTTGTGCAATAAAGAATAAATAAATAAATACTATTTAATATAGTATCTTGTTAGGGAGTAAGTAGGGAGTACTAAATACAATTGATATACATATGTTATCGTCTACGCTGAGTGGAATTAGTCGTGAAATTTTAGAAGATTGTTTTAAATTAAAATTAATTTAAAAAGTTATTCAAAATGAAATTTTAAAAATAAGAAATAGTAGATTATTTATTTTACATTTTATATGTATATATGTTCCTATTTTGTGAGTAGCCCAAACCAGTTTCTGTTGTAGATATTTTTTCACATGTAAGTAAAACTGTGGTTATGGGATTTACAACACGATTTTATTATTCTAAATTTTAACCAATGCTTGGACAACTTTACAGTAATAAGACTGAGGGCAAGGGAATTAGAGGTATTTGGTTTCTTAGTATTCGTATATAATTACGATTCTAGACATTAAAAATGACAAAAAAATATTCCACTGATTTGAAATCGGTAATTTTGTGAAATATTTGTACACACAATGTTGTTTTCATTTACATTCAGCTAAATTAAAGAAAACACATATACTTTGATCAGAACACACAAAATCACGTATTTCCTTCCTCGCCTGCAGGGTAGGGGCCGCACTTTCTTAAAGAGTACAGAGGACACAAGACAATTCAAAATTAATATACTTCACATCAATGATATTTAAAAATTCAAGCACACAAGGAAGGAAATAATGAAAGAGTAATAAAAGTTATTTTAATGAAATAGGTATAAAATTCTAAGGAACTAAAATTCTAAGGTGTAGGTTCTAAAAATTCTAAGGAATTTCACACACAATTTAGAAATATAAACGATTGAGGTCGAACTTATACGCCTATAATAATTAGACATAGTTATGGGGTTTTTTTCCACAAGAACACAACCTGCACGCTTAGTGAAAATATTGGAGGTGATTGCGTGACGTGTCCAGCTTTAACACTATTTAGCTGTAGTATCATAGATAGCTTGATTATATTATATATATAATAGTAATATATATAAAAGTAGAATAGCAGTAGATTATTGTAAAAATAATATAAAGATATAATAGATTTGAACTTAACGTAGTGGTAATGACCTAATCTAGAAAATTAAAGTAATTTGTAAAATTTTTATAGAAAGTAGAAGTCTCAAACGGTTAAATGGTCACAACACAAACTTATTCTTATGGTTTTGTGACAATGGTTTCATTTTAACATAGTTTAGTGATAAAATATTTATAGATATTTTTTTTATTACTATAATTAGGTTTTTTTTTTTGTATTGAAGTAATACTAAGCTAATTTATATTTAAATAGCATATACAAAATGAAAACTTTATTAGAAATTAACAAAGGTAATCTATGAAAACGAGAACCTTTTTCTCATTTAAATAATGCGAAATTACTCATGACGGCAGTAGTTTCCAAAAACAATTCATACATTATAAGAACAATTAAATTTTTATGTACTACTTTTTCCTGTGATTTTTTCAGTGTGAACTTTTTTATTGGTTTGATTGAAAACGATACATTTAAACCATTAACTATTAGGCACCAATATATATATATCTATGTGTCACGTAATGTTATATAAAATACAACTGTTTTCCCATGATCCTTCTGGAATTCTTTGCCTGGAATAGCAACAAACATGTACAAAGACGTCATCACGTCCATACATCCAAGCATCCGTACATCCGTAATTCCGTACTTCACTATCACATTTATAATAGTCCATTTTCACATTATAATACTAGTTTCCTCTGAGCAATCTAATGATTAAATACATAACACGATCTAAAAACAATAACTATATTTAAAAAGTCTAAATTTGCATTTTCTGTTCGCAACTTATATATCAGAGAAATACGATTTATTAAAAACTTTTCATTTGCTACTTAGTAGTGAGTTATAAATAATTTAGTCCATCCTCGCTGAAGTATACAAACAAATAGAAAGGCCTTCAATAAAACAAATATAAAATTAATAAGAAAATAGTGGCCACATTATATACAGTTTCTTTTAGAAAAATTTCTATTACATTATTTTTGACTTTTTATGACAAAATTTTTTAATTTGAAGGTATCTTTTGGTCATAAGAATATATATAGATAAATATATCAGATACTGGCATAGTCAACAAAAAATGAAGCAAAAATTTGTTGGAAGCCTTATGTTGTAGCTGCACCACAGTTAATTGAAATTAATAAAGATAAAGAGAGTACTAAGTAGAAAGATATATCTACTTCTTCAGTTGATTATATAAGTGAACACGAACAAAAACCACCAGTAAGCCAAAGATCTTAATATGAGGGAATTTTAGTATTATGCTAAACTTCGAGTAGTTTAATCGTTATCAAAAGCGTTGTATTATTAAATGTATTAAAACTGTAAAGCTAGAACAAATTACATTCTATTCATGTGATACATATATGCCTGTGGTTTTTAGTTAAAACCGAATAACGACACATTTCCAAGCACATTTGCAAAACAACAATTACATAAATATATTAAAGTGATATTTTATGAATGTATATATTATACTTATCTTCAGTAATAAATTCAATTTGTTTTGTTTATGTCATAACCGATACAAGACAAATAGTACATGACGTAATTTAGATCAATTAATTTACCTATTTTAATTAGATAGGAATATATTAAACGATTCTAATAACAAATTAATCAAAGCATTCGGATTGCTACGTGTGTTGACACACAAGTATTTATTTAGATCAGTGAATAGAGGGATTAACATGTACTAGGATTTAGATAAGACTTGTGCTAGCAATGCTCAATCAAAATATTTTATTGGAAAGTAACAACCCAAAGAATAAAAAGACTTCTAAATAACTCAAAAAACGTACGTCGTAGTTATTTCAAGACTTTTATCGATTTTTAAAAAAATTAATGTTTAGGTAGACTCAAACTTAACATACCTACGGTAAGTTCTCTTTCAAAATTTTAAGTAACAAGCAAGCCCAATAAAAAAGCCAGTATTAAGTAAACAAATAATGACTTACATTTTTCCAAAATATATCTATCGTTACATTTGTTATATGAGATAATAACACTTAGGTGAGTTACTGTGATGTAAGTGGCAAGATCTATAAACCGCTATCGTTGGCTTCGTTCCTACATTCCCATACATAAATTCGTTGTACATCAGGCCAGGGTGACGTTGGTAACGCAGCTGATACTGAACATGCCGGTAGTTTATATACTATGTTAGTTGAGTATGTAAGTCATATCAAACACTATATATATCGTCATCGTTTATGAAATAAAACAAAATATAATTATAGTGTAATGTCAAGAAAATATTTCTATTTTATGTAAATAAAATTGAAAAATATATAAGTAAATATTAACGAAATTACAATTAAAGAATTACAGGATTTACATTCGTTTCTTTTCTGTTCGACATTCATATTTCAGTATCATAAATTACAGTGCAGTAACCTGATTTATTGAAAAAGACGAAAAAGCTTTAAATGAATGGTAATCTTAATATTTTCGTGTCATTTTAAGTAATCGCATTATATTGAAAATTTGTTAAAATTACTCCAGATATATTTTGTAGGTTGTCAAATAATTGATAACCATAATGTTAAAATGTAAAACCATTTATATACAAATATAATACCCTAATATTTGAACAGTAAATTAAGCTTCCGAATCTATTTTATGGTATAATCGTATATTACGAACGATATGGTTAATATTTACATTGACTAACTTCGTAATTATATTTAATTAATAAAAAAAATTGGTATAATATGAATTCAATAGTTTTATTTAGTTACGCTGAGTCAACCAAAAACTTCATTTTTAAATCTTACTATGGAATTAATCCAAATGAATCAAATTGATGCAAAAATTTAATCAATTTAGAAGGATTAACGATGGTACAAAAACTGTAATATGCTTGATATAAAACGCAGATTAATTCTTTTAAATATGCCGTCAGGAGTCCGACCTACTTATACGTAATTAAGTAATCGCTTTTTAAGTGTATTAATAAACAATATATATTTAACTTTACAGCGAACTAAGTGGTAGTTTACTTTCTATAAAGTAGGAGGAGATGAATTTATCTACAAGTAGACGGATGAAGTTAGAAGCTACATATGTATGCTAAACAATAATATTCTTCATTTGTTTGTCTATGAAAATGTGTTTGTCACTATTCCCGACAAAATTAATATAATCCATTAATATTGTTTGTTAGTCGATTTCCACGATATTTATCCAGTTGTTACGTACGCGCTACATATGAAGAAAAAAATTAACATCGCGGGGGCGACATCTTTATATCGGTAAAAAAGCCATGTGAACAAGAAGATTCCTTACACCATAAGAGCAATAGAATGTTATTGTCATCCTAACATGGGGGCAATCATGTAGTCTTACGTAGAGGTTATAAGTTTTAACATGTAATTCGTATTTTAATATACATATAAGTATGTTGTTTCGTAGTTTTCCTGGAACCTCTGGTTGTCACCCTACGTAATTCAGTCACTAATAAGGTGTCTTTAACAGAAATTAATTTGACTAGAACATAACTGAAAAAATACATACTTCGTTCTAGAATGTGATACCATCAGGATTTTAGAGTAATTGCTATTACATACCTTACATAATTTTATAAAAACAAAACAATTTAAATTTCTTTTGGGTAATAAAGAACCCCTTAAGCTTCCTTTTATTTTCAACAACAATAGAAAATTTTTACTGTCTATCCCTTTTTATTGCTCATGGAATATAAGCACTTGACTACTGTCTACTTGATGGTTTCATAAAATAAATGGTAGTAACCCCAATCAAAATGCTGATAAAAAAGGTGTATATTTTCATTTCGCTTAGAATATTTTGTAAACCGGCGTCGTGGAAAGTAAAGTTATAGTGATTGTAATAATGTTAAGTTGTAATTGTAATAACAAATAATAACAGAGTAAACTCAAATACTAGCTTTATTTTGTAAAACTTGTTAACGTTTGCAAGATTCGAGATGATTTCCGGAAGACAACGTTCAAATGAGAATATGAAATATAAGTCGCTAAAACGCTATCACTTTCAAGTTCATCAAAGGTTACATATTAATTATTAGATTGAAATAAGTTTTAATAAAGAAGACATTCGATCTTAATAGGCTCTATTAATAAATAATGAACAATTAATCTTATTTTTACATATGTTTTGATATATAGTGACATGGGTCCCTTTGGCATGAATGAAAGAAACCACTTTTACAAAAAAACTAATGGAACAGTGATTGGTGAGTCCAGAATAAAAATCTTCTCGCTTGTCCTCAGATCTTCAACGAGTGATTGATTCGTTTTTAACAAAAAGGTTTAAATAACTTCGGTTACATCGCCAATATTCTGGATTCCGTAAAATCCAGAATATTAGCGATGAGATATTAACTTTTTTGTGTCATTTTATAGTGTCCAACATCATTAAGTTTATTGTAAGGTATATTTACTTAAGTACTTTTTTGAGTTAAGTGTCATAGTGATCTTATAAAAGTCATAAAAAGAAGTTCTTACCGATCACGTGTAGCATGTACTTATAGTTTCTTGTTGGAGATACTTTGAAGTCAACTCTGCAGCGATAAAGAGCCTGATCTGCGGGAACGATATTTTGGATGCGAAGTACAGAGTGCTGTGAAAGGTGCCACTTTGCACGACCCACGAGCGTTTCATCCGCCCAGTGTGCAGAAGGCCCTTTTACACGCCCGTCGTAGCTGCAATTACAAAAGATATATAAATATAAAATTTCAAATTGTAAATGAAATGGAAATAAATTTTAAATGGTTAGTGTGTGAAGTATGCTGATTCATGACACAATTATGAGTTTTGTCTATGAAAAACTAATCTCTGCCAAGAAAAATTACGAAAATGAATCATCATCATCTTTCAATGTGCATTATTTTGCTCAAGGACAAGTTATTCAAACTGGAAAAAGATCAAAAGGAAATGGCAATTGCAAGGTAACCTATATTTCCTTAGATAAATTCAAATTGAAACTAAAGCCTTGTTAGAAATCTGAATGGATAAAGAGAGTCAGGAATCTTTGAAAACTTTTTTTATCCGATATCTTTCATGAAATGAAATCTAAATGCAGATTAAGTAATGTTCATAAATAATAATATAATATAACCTACTTGGAGAGAGTGTACATTTTATACCAAACGAAAATATCTTGGGACATTTCCCTCATTTCATAAATATCGGTACGAAAATGTACTTCTCACATTAGACTTACAGAAAAAATTAATAGACCCTCCAGATAAATTATAATATTTTTATGTTTTCAATAAAATAGAGTAGAAAATTATATAGATTTTTTGGTCCCATAGGTTATAAATGGGAAAATACTAAATCAGTGTATGAATTTTATTTTTTGTTTAGATGACTTTAAGATGGTTAAACGTATTATTTTCATAAATTTGTCTATCTGTTTGATCTAAACTTACCATAATAAACCGTGCAAAATTAACTTTTTCTTGTATTTTCTTACGTTAACATTTACACAGAGGAAACCAATATGCAGCAAATGTGTTTATTGTACAACCTGTTGAATATTTGAAATTTCGATTTACCGTCAACATGAATGATGAACTAAATTTCATATTCTTATCATGTTTACTCTTTTTTTGTCATGTTCAAACAATATAATGTTATTCTTATTTGCTGAGATAAATGAAAATGTGACATACAAAATAATATTGTAATTTCTCTTTTTTATTACTTTTTGTAATTATAACTGCATGTATTTCTATCTGTTTATTAGAATGTTTTATTTCCTTGCATGAAAATTGCACAGTGAAAATATTTACAATGATTATATATATATATGTAATATAATATAATATAATAATATAATTTATACACAAAAAAACCCAATTGCTGACAGCTGCTTACAACTGACCTGTATATTGGTATGCTGTTTTTATACCACACGACGAGTAGCAGTGCATCAGGCGGTTGTGGAGAGAGAGTGTCGCAAGGCAGAGTTGTGTCTCCTCCTGACACCGCTGACAAATTGACTGCGTCCAGAGACTCCGCCCACACGCTCGGCCCTGGCCTTAGATCTGTTGATTGAAATTAAGACTCAAATAAATAGGAAGATCGCCGTGTTTACCCTAAAAAGTAACAGAAATGATAAAAATCCAGTCAAGAAAACAAAATTATGATCACTGTAACATTAAAGTGATAGTTCATATTACACTGTTATTATCTAAACTACATAATATTATAAAGAGGTAATATTTTTGTTTGTTTGTTTATTTGTTACGAATAGGCTCAAAAAAGACTGGACCGATTTTAAAAATTCTTTCACCATTATGATTGTACATCTTTCCAAAGTAACATAGGCTATATTTTATTTTGAAAAAAATTAGGCATCCTTGCGAAAACTTCGATAACATAAACCACGGGCGATAAAAATCATTATTGAAATACCTTAACTCGCGTGCGCTGCAATAACTATTGATGATGGAGCAAAATAATGTACTACGATTTTGTTGACCGCATTATTATATACAGGAAAGTCCGCGGTAGTGTATATCTAAGTATTATAGTTACGCTCATATAAAAACTTTTATAGTTTAACAAACTATTTAAATCGGCAACGAAAATAAGATGTCGATATTCATACCATGGTATTTATACTTATCTAAATAACTTACTTTTTATTTAACAGTAGTTTAATACCTTTATATTGCTGTTTAAAAAATTATTTTAATCGGATACTCCATTCAAAAGATATAGCGAATTTAAAAATTTGGGTAACTTAAAAATTAACTAAGCGCTTCGCTGCATCGCATCGCGATGTTGATTGTGCGTAGCTGAACTGCGCATGTACGTGCAATGTCTATTGTTAATAAAATTGTCTTTGATATAACTTAATTTCAGCAAAAAACTTTAAAGATTACAATGATACATAACTCCGAAACAAAACCAACTCGCTCTCTGCGCTGGCCGGCGCGGCGGGAGAGAGGCGATGTTTGCGGGCAAGCCGGGCGGGGGGTGTAGCTCCGCGAGATACCATGCCGCGAAGCTCATTCCCGAATCCGGCGGTCGGCTCCATACTGAACGGTTGAATGCAGCGCTAATTTGTTTATGCGATATAATTATCATCGCAATATTACTTTTTAAACACAGTTTCATTTTGTAGTTGTTTTCTATATAGTGAGTACTTCATTTGTGTTACGATAGTATTTAGTTTGCCAAAAATAACACTTTTTTTAGTATATACAGAAGTTCTTTAAAATAATTAAATTTACTGTAAAAATTGTACAGATATAGTTTGGAACTCGAAAAAAAACATAGGTTTTATCCTGAAAATTCTGCGGGAACTCGAACATTCCGAAAATTCCGCAAGAACGGGAACTATGTAGGAAGAACCAAAAATCTGCCGGAAGTCACTATTCCACGCGGACTAAGTCGCGGGCAAAAGCTAGTATAAAATAAAATAACAAAATAGTACATATTAACGAAAGTACCTATATTTTGTTTAAAGCTACACAGTAGCAAAAATAATAAGGATAATATCAGATACATAAATCTAATATTTCTCATTTATAATTACCAACCATAATATATTAATGAAGTAAAGACCTATTTAGTTACCCTTTCTAAATGAAACTAATATTTTTCGGATTTTACTTCGCGTTTTATTTTTGATTAGAAAACTACATACTCCCGACGTTTCGGCTACTTTTCAGCAACCGTGATCACGGGTAGACGAGATGTGAGTGTCTGTCAGTTGGTCTAGTCATTTTATCTCCTACCTCCATCGATTTCTTAATTTTCTTGCGTACCGCTCTAGATGCCGGCAAAATGCGCTCACGGTGTCTCGAGGTCCTGCGGTGTGGTCACGGACATGGGATTTTATATTTTTAAGAAGAGGATCCCAGGTGTTTGATAGGTTCCAGCCAACTTCTCTATTGAAATTGGGGTGTTCTTTAATTTCAATAGCCTCGCGGATTAACCTTGGTATATATCTGTCTTCACGAGCGAGGATCTGTGGTTTATCAAATCTAATGTAATGGCCTGGTTTGTCCAATCCATGTTCGCACACTGCTGACTTCGACGCGCGCCTATTCCTAACGTCTGAAATGTGTTCCTTAACCCTTGTGCCAATGCTTCTCTTTGTCTGTCCGATGTATGACAAGCCACAGTCACAATCAAGTTTATATACACCCGCTTGTTGTAAAGGAATATTACTCTTGATTGGTCTCAAGAATTGGCTCACTTTCTTATGTGGTTTATAAATAGTCTTGATTGAAACCTTCTTCAAGATGTTGCCTATTCTGTCAGTAACTCCCTTTACATATGGTAGAATTGCAGGTTGTCGCTCAACTATAGGTGGCTTCATCTGGTTCTTGCGATGCTGGCGAGAAACGGGCAGGCAGTTGATGGTCAGAGCACGTCTTACATGCTGCAGCTCGGCCTCTAGGTGGTCAGCATCACAAAGGTGTTGTGCTCTCTGTAACAAAGATTTACCAACGGTAGCTAACTGTACAGGGTGGTGGTGTGATTTTACCCTTTCTAGATTATTTTTATGATAGATACAAACTCACTAATTAAATAAAAAATTGAGAAAACCAAGTGTATAAATTAGGAAATTCGTAATTTACAAGCAGCTGTTAATTTATAAAAAATAATATGAAAGTCAGTATAACACAACTCATCCCACATTTTGATTCAGTTTCACCAATCAGTGTTAAATAATTATATTTTTAAGGTATTTGATGGACTGTTAGATGTATGGAGCGTCCCTGTCTCTGGAAATGTCTTAACAAGACATTTATATTAATTCCTGCTCTAGAGGTCCATCAAATGGCCAACGGACTGTTAATCTATTGTATTGTCAAAACTCAAATGCCCAATCTCATCCCTGATTTTGTTGTAGCCATACTAAGAGGATATATTTAGTGATTTTCGACTGTTAATTGTAGGTATTTATTAATGAGGTGAATTTAAATTCCTTTTTTAAATGTAAAAAATTTTACCTCCGCCTTTTTTATGACATTGCAAATTAGGTACTCTTTTCATCACCTACAACTTGAAGACATTTTATAGCAGCAGACATGTTTTGTTATGTAGGTAGCAAACGAGTACATAGCCCACTTGATGGGCAGTAGTCAATAGATATCCGCAACATATTTGTTTTTAAAGAAGAGAGAGGGATGGGAATAAGGGAAAGGTGGAAACAGGGAAAGGGCAACCGGCTCTCTCACTCATCGGACAAAAGGCAGCCGTTAAGAACTACTTCACGCCGATCTTCTGTGAAAGGATGGTACCTTCTTAACCTCCGAGCCAGCCCATGTTCGAGCTATGGTAACTAACCACAACTAGGCTCTAACAAGTGACATATCGCGGGATATATACTTTCTATTGATAAAGTGGTGTATCGTAGCAATCATGTCGTATTAAAAGATACAAAATTTAATTTGGTTGTCCTAACAAATAATTTAGTAGCCGGTCATTTAACGTCTCCTTTAATTATGCGGTTTTAATTTTTTATCGTGGGCCGTAAACATTTTTGGAGGTTCGTTCGTTCTTTTATATTTAACAAACAGAAGTTAGTGAAATTGTGTCTAAAAGGCAAAATATTCTTTACTTATGTTAATTTTAATAACACTTATCTATATGAAAATATTACAGTATTAATAAATTATTATATGCAACTCAAATTCAAAATAATAATTACTAAACAATTAATTGAAAAATACCAATGAATGTTTTAAACACCATTTCAACAAATTGTAGATAACCATATCAAAGAGAGTAAAAAAAAATACAAGTTGGCGATGTTAGTTTTCTTGTTTCTGATTCAGAAAGAGCGCCTGGTAGTCAGTCACGTTATTGAGTATCATTTATTAATAAAGTCCATATTATATGAAATATTTACGCAGAAAACCCGTTTCTTGAAACTAAAATTGAACGTAACAAACTGAATGAAATGTATTTCACATGGAGAAGACAAAAACAGATAGTTGATATACATTGCAAAACATTAGAATAATACGATAATAAACCAGTATTAGCACTGGTCGTAAATTAAAATTAAGTAATAGCTAACACGGTTCCACAAAACTTAACGTCGCCAAGCACGCTTGCGAAAATTTGTGATAGTTTTACATAGCAAATAAATTCAATAGGAAGAATTATACTGTATATAATGAATTTTAAACATCACTGCTATGATGATGAGAATTTGGTTTATTATATGTTATTATTACATATTACAACTTTTGTATCGATATGTCTTCTACATTAATTGACCTTTATAATAATAAAATAATATTTTATTTGATATTTAGGTAGCTGAAAACCAAAGCCAGTTGTTGTCAGTGTTAGCATTAATCGGTTATAAACCCAACCATTCAAGAAACCGCTCCGGCATTCAGTTTTAACTGAAACTACGTCCAGTATTCATTATTTTAAATGTTTTATTTTAGGAGTGAAATATTTACTACAACATTTTAACAGTTAGTATAACATACTGGAAGTTTTACGAGCAAACATTTTGGAGCAACTGCGCTTGCACGTGCAACAAGACGATTATTTTAAAATAACTGTCTATAAGCGTTTCGGCTCGTCAAAATAGATGGAATGTTACTTCTGAACTGGAACTATAATCTTAATGTTGTATGTACTGTATACTAATTTTTTTAATACGTAAAAAGTAGTGTGTATTTCATATTTTAAACTTTAAAGTTGAGAAATTTACCTATAACCAACTAACAATATGTAATTGTTTAGATTGGTACCTCGTGAGGTACCCAAATACCTCACGAGCTCACGACCAGAGCAAGGTGCAACTTTGACATCATAATTTCCGGATTGAAAACGACTAAACCAAATTTGCGCTACTCTCACAGACACTGCACTAGGTCCATAAATATCGCAAATTTTTTTCGCGGCTTGCGTTGCATTTTTACCTTTTTTGTAGTAATATATTTTTCACACTTAGACATTCTAATTTTGAACTGAAATTCTAGACCTGGTGAAATTATCAGTGAGCTATAATTAAAATGTGTTACGTGTAACCTACTTACGACATATAATTCATCGTGTTTATCATAATAATCACGATTTTTATCATACCAGTCGTGACGCAATTATAAGGACTAGATAATGACGAATACAAAAGTACTTTTTGTCACGTAGTGTACGATTTAAATGTCAAAGAACAATGATGCGACGTTAATATGAATATTCATGACAGAACAGTATATGCGGGTACGTTAACGTCTTCGTAAAAACGCTTTCCTTTTCACCAAGTGGAAAGCTAAGTCATGTTAAAATTCTTCATTTTCTTATATATGTTTATAGCCTGACTGAATCCAAAAATTCAAACACTAAACTCTATCTAAGAAGTAACATTTTGTTTTGCGGATTTATTCTCGTTTTACATTTTTAAAATCATTTAAAGTCTCCCTAAACTTTACATCAGGTTGCCTATACCGTATTTGACATTTTTTTAATGAAGAAATTATCAAGAAAATTATAAAAAATAGTGAAGTGGAACATTTTATTCCAATTGAATACTCAATACGTTGATGTGTTTTAGTATACTATATTTTCAAATTCTTTTCTTGGTTTGTCGAGAGGATGATCTGTAAAATATACAAAAAAATTAAGAAAAATTAATAAAGAGTAACTTAGATCCACTTGCTATTATGTAGAAAGTTTGAAAATCTTCACCTTCCCGTTATGTTTATCAGTCCTACGCCTTTCAGGTATACATTTTTGTTACAGTTAGGGTGTCTCCTTCATATAAAAGTATCGTATATCATACCTATGGTATTCATATGTTGAAATACGATTGCATCTTTGTAAAACGTTCTTATATAACAATAACTTCTAGTACTGAAGTCTTGAATTGAGAGCTTTCTACAGATAAAAAAGTTATTGACCTAAAAATTATGTATCGTCAATATAAGTTAATAATATGCAAACGCCGAAACGAGCAATACTTTTTATCAAAACAAATAGAATACACACCAAATACCTAATCGACGTACTCGTCGTGTAGCATTTTTTAATACACTGCTGATGAATACACAAAATACGGAATCAACTGACTTGTAAATCATTTAGCCACTAACTATAATGACTTATTTTCTCACTTAGATATATTCAATATGAAAAAGTTATATATTAAAAAGACTTTAAAAAGAAATAGTTACATCTTAATTTAATATTTAAACACACAAATGCATACACACACACACACCTACACACCCACTAACTTACACATTCGCATACACAAGCGTACACGACAACGTACAGTCTTGCTAATTAATTTTGTGATCCGTTATTAATTAATACTTAAGTTACGTTTATGTTTATACTTTTACTTGAACTGTGTAATCCTGTATTGATCTTAGTACTGTTTAGTTACATCTTATCGTGTCATTAATATTATATAAGCACAGTTAGATTAACAAAATAAATAAATAAACACGTTAGTTACCATGTGACAGAACTTAGTCTAAAATGTTTCTTAGCTTTCTAGATATAATAATTCTGTATTAAAGAGACAAAATCAGAAATAAACAGTGTTCATGATTAAATCATAAATTGAATGCGCACCTACTTTTCACATTTAGTTCTATTCAAAAATTGTATCTAAGCCTAATTGTATCTAATCTAAGTCCATATTGGAATATTCATAACAAAGAGTTACATTAATATATAAAATAATTGATACTTCCACATACAAGGTTATCAGATATCTTATAATATTATGACAATTAACAATATATGTAAAGAAAGTAATTTTAATATTTGTTTATGATATGTAACGCATAAATTTGTTTTCAAACAAATTATGTATGAAGTACAAAGAGTAATGAAAAATGTTCTTTGACCAGGTGAAAAAAATCTTTGCGGTTACAGGAAATTATTTTTTCCCTTCTTCCAAAACTGAGAAATAGCACCTATATGGATTTCATTTTAAATGATCTTAAATTATTAAGATGATTTTATTAGTCCCAAAATAAAAAAAAGAGTTGAAATCCGTGTTTATTATCTTAATATAAAGCTATTTATGATTTAAGTAAATGGAAAAGAAAACTGATTATCTTCTGATTTGTTTTCTCAATAACCTCGTATATTTTTTCTTTAGTAAATTACACAAAACACATTTCGTTTGGTATAAAGCATACATGGACAGAAGATGTTATATTGTTTTATATTATATAAAATAGAACACACAACATGTATGGCAGACCCTGGCTATAGCTGGGAAATCGCCAGGTAGAAGAAGATATTATATAAATAGAATTACTATTTAATGTAATGTAATGATACAAATAGAATACCTTTCTCTATTTTTACATCTACCTTTTTCAAATTAATTGGGGCAGAAATATAGTGATAGAAATCAAATTTCAGTTCCTTTATCTTTTCTTTCTAAAAATCTTAAACTTTATTCAAGAAGATGAAGTTACCTAAATCAAATCAAACCTACGATAAGATACGATGATTACAAGAATTTAGCTAATTAGAAAATTTTTAAGTAAAACAGTAAGACGGGTGGGTGAATACGATGTTCGCAACAAAGTTCTTTACGTGACTGGATTATGAAATTAGTTTAAACGATTATATAAGACCATTATTGTAACCTTTGTACATTTCGCTAACGATACTGACTGAATTTGATGGAAGCTAGAGAGAAAAATCATAGGTCATTTAGTGCATTGTTACTGAGTGGTAATGAAAAATTCAAAAGCTATAGTTAGAATTTATTTCATTTCTCTTTCAAGATAAGTTGCCCCATTATCGTATGAAAGATTTTTAAACAGTAAAATTCATAGATTTTTATTGTTTTTATATAATACTAATATGTACTTTTTGTTCGTTTTAGTGTTTTTCCATTGATAGAAAGATAAAATAATGTATATTAATATAATAATTGACATGTAAATTATATTTATATTAATACTACATAAAATTAACTTTACCACATTTTAGCAATTTTAACAACTTAAGCATAGGCTTATATGGCATAGGCCACATGTCAGATTTTAACAGCTTAAGACAGTAATTGTACTTGTTAAGATAATGGGTGAGTTTGGAAAGGGATGTGTAAGAAGATTAATATGTGTGTTAAGGAGATACGATGTCGTTGTAATTTCGAGATATACTTGCTAATATTATGATTTCAAATTAAAAGCGGCATAATCGGGTGATGACTTTATTTGAAAAACCTAAATTATGTTTAAATTGTATTATTTGCAACTTGTCGTGGATGTCGTAGAAAGGGATATACATATTTTCCAGGAAGATGGGCAGCACCATCTTCCAGGAACAAATCATCTATACTGCGCTCGTCAACCCTTCTGCCAAGCGTGGCGAGTATAGGCAACTCCCCTCATGACGATTAAGTCAACGAACGGCCCCGAGTCCCCGGCAGCCCCATTAACCCGGACTACGGTAGCGGTCTTGGTAACGGTGGGGCTAGGGGTGCTGAGAACCTCCGGCAGACGTCCGATTACATATACAAACAACCACTGGCCGTAGCAACGCCCAATATACGCACTTTGAAGAATGACGAGAAGATACTTGAGCAGGAGGAAGAATTGAGCAAATTACGGTGGGATATTTTGGGGTTGTCTGAAGTCCGTAGAGAGGGCCAGGATATGATAACTCTGAAATCTGGTAATTTGCTTTTCTACCGGGAGGGTGACCAACAATCCCAAGATGGTATCGGATTTCTCATCCACAAGTCTCTCGTGAACAACATCATAACCATCACAGTGGATCAGGCAGGGTTGTATACCTAATACTCAGAGTATCTAAGAGGTACTTATTGAAGGTTATTCAGGTATATGCACTGACTTCGTCACATCCAGTTAAGGAAGCAGATTCTACGTATGAGGACATTAGTATGGCCATACATACTAACTAACGGCGAATCCCTTAAAACGAGGCGTAAGACAGGGAAAAGTCATATCTCCGAAACTGTTTACGGCTGCTTTGGAAGACGCCTTCAAGCTTCTGGAATGGGAAGGACTGGGCATCAATATTAACGGCGAATACATTACTCACCTTTGATTTGCCGATGATATCGTAGTCATGGCAAAGTCGATGCTTCCTTGTTCTTCAACTAAGTACGATGCCCGAAGACCTCAATCGAGTCTCCCAACGGGTAGGTTTTAAAATGAATATGGACAAGACAAACTCATGACTAATGTCCATGTTGCACCTACCCCTGTTATGGTTGAGAACTTGAAGTTGTTGACGCATATATATACCTAGTACAGACAGTCCAGTTAGGAAGGTCCACCTTCGAGAAAGACGTAAATCGCCGAAGCCAATTTGGATGGGCTGAGTTTGGGAAAGAAAAAGTACAACGAGAGTCACCGACATAGCTACACTTTGAAGTGGCAATGGGCAGGCCATATATCAAGGAGAACAGATGGCCGTTGGGGCCGAAAAGTTCTTGAGTGGAGACCACGAATCGGAAAACGCAGCGTCGGACGTCCGCCAACGAGATGGACGGACGACTTGCACGA